CGCTGTGACTGTGCGCTGTGACTGTGTGCGCTGTGACTGTGTGCGCTGTGACTGTGCGCTGTGACTGTGTGCGCTGTGACTGTGCGCTGTGACTGTGTGCGCTGTGACTGTGCGCTGTGACTGTGTGCGCTGTGACTGTGCGCTGTGACTGTGTGCGCTGTGACTGTGCGCTGTGACTGTGTGCGCTGTGACTGTGCGCTGTGACTGTGTGCGCTGTGACTGTGCGCTGTGACTGTGTGCGCTGTGACTGTGCGCTGTGACTGTGTGCGCTGTGACTGTGCGCTGTGACTGTGTGCGCTGTGACTGTGCGCTGTGACTGTGTGCGCTGTGACTGTGCGCTGTGACTGTGTGCGCTGTGACTGTGCGCTGTGACTGTGTGCGCTGTGACTGTGCGCTGTGACTGTGTGCGCTGTGACTGTGCGCTGTGACTGTGTGCGCTGTGACTGTGCGCTGTGACTGTGTGCGCTGTGACTGTGCGCTGTGACTGTGTGCGCTGTGACTGTGCGCTGTGACTGTGTGCGCTGTGACTGTGCGCTGTGACTGTGTGCGCTGTGACTGTGCGCTGTGACTGTGTGCGCTGTGACTGTGCGCTGTGACTGTGTGCGCTGTGACTGTGCGCTGTGACTGTGTGCGCTGTGACTGTGCGCTGTGACTGTGTGCGCTGTGACTGTGCGCTGTGACTGTGTGCGCTGTGACTGTGCGCTGTGACTGTGTGCGCTGTGACTGTGCGCTGTGACTGTGTGCGCTGTGACTGTGCGCTGTGACTGTGTGCGCTGTGACTGTGCGCTGTGACTGTGTGCGCTGTGACTGTGCGCTGTGACTGTGTGCGCTGTGACTGTGCGCTGTGACTGTGTGCGCTGTGACTGTGCGCTGTGACTGTGTGCGCTGTGACTGTGCGCTGTGACTGTGTGCGCTGTGACTGTGCGCTGTGACTGTGTGCGCTGTGACTGTGCGCTGTGACTGTGTGCGCTGTGACTGTGCGCTGTGACTGTGTGCGCTGTGACTGTGCGCTGTGACTGTGTGCGCTGTGACTGTGCGCTGTGACTGTGTGCGCTGTGACTGTGCGCTGTGACTGTGTGCGCTGTGACTGTGCGCTGTGACTGTGTGCGCTGTGACTGTGCGCTGTGACTGTGTGCGCTGTGACTGTGCGCTGTGACTGTGTGCGCTGTGACTGTGCGCTGTGACTGTGTGCGCTGTGACTGTGCGCTGTGACTGTGTGCGCTGTGACTGTGCGCTGTGACTGTGTGCGCTGCGCTGCGACTGTGTGGCGTGGGGTCGCAGGGATCTCTCAAACAACCACTTGAGCGGCACTCTCCCCACCACCCTCTCTCGCCTCTCTGGCCTGTTTCAGCTGTGAGTCACAATTCACGACGCAGCAAGGGCACATGGGTGCATGGGGACATGGAAACGTGGATGAATGGGAACATGGACGCGTGGGTGGGATAGATAGGAAATTCTGGGCGTTACCCAATGAGATCAGCTGGGCTAAAGATTCCAGGTGACCACATTCTACTAAGGTTGGGATATCAGTGTGTCACCTAATCCATGAAAACAGCCACACTAAATCCGGATATGAAAGTACAACTACAAAAGTGGAGACTGCGATTTATCTCTAACATATGCTTGGCACATGAACTGACACATTGATCCGCACATTTATTCGCAGATCGTTGGTTTCTGGGTGATGAGCAACAATAGTCCACATGCTCATAAGTCCACATGTTCATGAGCTGATCTCATGGTTCTCTCTGTTTTTGTACAGGCTCTTCTTGAGGCACTTCAAGAAAGTGTTCACTCCGCTATTCCACATGCTCTACTTGAAGCGCCTCAAGTGGTTCACTCTCCTCTGCTCGTCCTCAGGTTCCTCCAGCGCAACAACCTGAGTGGTGCATTTCCCCTTTGGATTGCACAGATGTCCAGCATTGGATGGCTGTGAGTGCATTGGATGGCTGTGAGTGCATTGGATGGCTGTGAGTGCATCGGATGGCTGTGAGTGCATTGGATGGCTGTGAGTGCATCGGATGGCTGTGAGTGCATTGGATGGCTGTGAGTGCATTGCTTGCAGAGATTGTGATTCTTCTCCTATTCTATGGTTGTGCTTTTTCACTTTTGCCCAATCCACACATGCTGTTGTTCAACACATCTCTGCTTATCCTTTCATCATCTCCAGTGTCCTGCTGAGTGCGATTACGCATCCATTGCAATGCATCGCAACGCATCCATTGCATCGCCCCCCTGCCAGGTACCTGAATGACAATAACTTCTCTGGCCCCGTGCCTGCTTCTCTTGGCGGCTCTAAAGGCCTCATCTTCCTGTGAGTCGCCTGCTGTGCAGTATTCTATCATGTCATGTGACCTGCCCTGCGATGAGAACATGCATGTCACATGCGTCCCTTTATGTGAGAGGGGTCATCATATTCGTCGTCTCTTTATTCACTGCTCCCTCATCATGCCTTGGCAGTTCCCTTCGCTGTGATGATAACCCTCCGCCGTCTTTCACTCACTCACCCCCTCCATCCACCACCCCTCTTCCGTCCTTCAGCGAGTTGTCAGGTTCGGGGCTCACGTGCCCGCCGAATGCGTCCAGCTGTGTGGTTCGGCAGGTCAACTACAGCGCCTTCTGCCAGGACTGCCATGAATTCTGTGCCACGTGCACAAGTGATCAATGTGAGCTGCTGCAGTACTTGTGATTCTGAGCTTCAATACTTGTGCTTCTGGTGCTTCAAGTCTTGTTATTCAGGTTCTTCGGTACTTGTGATTCCGCTGCTTCACGACATGTTTTTCTCGTGTGCTGGTGCATGTGTCCCTCCAAAGCAGCCCCACCCCCATCACCAATCGTGGCCTCCCCTCCACCATCCCCATCGCCCAATCAACCCACCTCCCCCTCCTCATCCTCCCCCCCTTCCTCCTCCTCACCCTCTTCCACCTCTCTCGATTCCTCCTCCCAATCCGGCCTGTCTGTGGGAGCTGTCGTTGGCATTGTGACAGCAGCCCTTCTGCTGTTGCTTCTGCTGCTGGCCTCAGCTTGGTGGCTTGCCGGGCACTTCAAGATTTTCACTAACGGTAAGGTTTTTTCATGTTAGCCTTTAGTCAAGGGAGCACAGGTGTGTGTGCGAGAGGCGCCTCAATTCTGACAGATTCCAGCCACGAGCACCATATCAACTCCATATCTTTGTATAACGTATCTTGCAAACCTGCTGTGTTCCAATGTGCTGCTTCTCACAAACCAAAATACGCCTATCAAAATTTTTAATTCGTTTTTTTTTTTATCTCTAATAAACCGTGGTTCCCTCCCTGATACCATACTCCCCACAGACTCCTCGAGCCCGCGCTTAGGCAACACAACCATGCCATGCCGGCGCTACTCCCTGGCGGTGGTGGCGCGTGCAACCAACAACTGGTCCAAGGAGTGCCTGCTGGGGTCGGGCGCGTATGGAGATGTGTACCGCGGGGTGTGCCCTGAGGATGGCACCACGCTGTGGGCCGTGAAGCGCGCCAAAGTCATCACCGCTGACTTCCACAGAGAGGTGGGTCACCACCCGCACGAATGTTTTGAGTCTTTTTTTTTTAGTTGCCTTGAAAATCAACTGAGGATGGCACCACGCTGTGGGCCATGAAGCGCGCCAAAGTCATCAATCTGTCTGCTCCTCTCTTGTCTGGTGGCTTCACACTAGTAACTTGAAAGAACACAAAGTTTCAGGCGCTTAAAAGAGTATGTACCAATCCCTGTTATTCTCTGCTCGTGGTCTCACCCAAATTGTCTCAAACGGCTTGCCCCTCTCTGTTCCCATGCAGTTGTTTCTGTCAGCCATGCGCTGCAGTCGTTTGTATCAGTCCCCCTCTCTCTTTTTGGAAGTGGACACTGGAATGGCCCGAAATGGTCTTCCCAAGGGCTACAGGTGTCGTCTTGGGGGGGTGTGGGTGCGCTGACCTACCAAGGAAACATGCCATTTTTTCAGTCGGTTAGCGGACTGGATTGCTATCTCTGCATCTCTCTCTCTCTTCTCTTGGTCCAGCACAGGTGGCGCAGATGGCCACAAAGCATCATCCCAATCTGGTGCGGCTGCTGGGGTACGCAGTGGGAGGCCATGTGAGCACACGGGTGGAGAACGTTCTCGTCTACGAGTTCATCGCCAATGGCGACCTGCGCGGGTGGATCGGCCCAGGTACTGTCCACTCCTTTTTCACTTGGTTTTAGTCGATCCTGCTGCTTAGCGCTCCTTCACACACTGCTGCTCTTCTAACCATGAGTGAAGTTCATCGCCAATGGCGTCATGCACACGTGGATCGGCCCAGGTACTGTCCAGTCCTTTGCTATGCTTTGTTAACCATGCCCTTGCATCTACCATGCACTTGCATCTACCATGCACTTGCATCTACCATGCACTTGCATCTACCATGCACTTGCATCTACCATGCACTTGCATCTACCATGCACTTGCATCTACCATGCACTTGCATCTACCATGCACTTGCATCTACCATGCCCTTGCATCTACCATGCCCTTGCATCTACCGTGCACTTGCATCTACCATGCACTTGCATCTACCATGCACTTGCATCTACCATGCACTTGCATCTACCGTGCACTTGCATCTACCATGCACTTGCATCTACCATGCACTTGCATCTACCATGCCCTTGCATCTACCATGCCCTTGCATCTACCGTGCACTTGCATCTACCATGTACTTGCATCTACGGTGCACTTGTGTCAACAGTGCATTTGTGTGGACAGTTCGAGAAAACAAAAATAGCAAACAAAAGAAGAAGGGTAAAGGTGCTTCAGTAATCAATGGACAAAAGCCAGTGGCCGACACGCTTGCCAGTTCTTCAAAGCGGCTGGACCTTTCAAGTCAGACCCGTCTGGTTCGACGAGCCAGGAAGGGCAAAGGAGACTGTAACGGAAGGAGGCCGGGCTTGGCTCGAATTAGGCCGAGCCGACCCTTCAGGTTTGACAAGCCAGGGAGGTCCGTCCCGAGCGGGGGCCAGCCCTTACACAGACCTAATCTGCAGTACCTTGCAGATTGGAAGCTCCAGGGCCTGCCCTCGTTGGCTTTGTAGTGACACTGGTGCCACTTTTCGGGTCTGCACTGCACCACACTGCACTCCCAGATACCCCACACGTGGACTCTGCAGCAGCGGGGTTACCCTCTTCATAGGTGCTGCTCATGGCTTCTGGTTTCCTCTCCTCTGCAACGCAGCATCTCAATGCTGCTTTTCTCTGATTCTGCCTCGCCTCTGCTCTGCCCTTTTCCAGATACGTCCACAAGTTTGACTCTGCAGCAGCGGGTGGGCATCCTCTTGGGGGTGGCACGGGGCTTGGAGTATCTGCACAGCTTTGGCATCGTGCACCGCGACATCAAGCCCGCCAACATCCTCCTTGACGCCCACATGCAGGTGAGTTGACGTTCGAGTCGACTCAAAAGTCATCCTACTAGGGATGGTGTGTGGGTTGGAGGCTTGGATTATCTGCACAGCTTCGGTCTGTTGCATTGGACGTCAAGCCCGCCAACATCCTCCTTGATGCTCACATGCAGGTGGGCTCACCAAATGCTCGCAAGGCACTTGCTTCACATGCAGGTGGGCTGAACAGATGTTGGCAAGGCACAGGTGTGGCAATCAGGCACACGCACTCATGCACGATATCACTTGGTCATGCAGGTGCAGTCGTAAAGCGTTACAGCCACCTTGAACAATATCAATCCAATCCACCCTCCGAACTAGATGAACTCATTCTGTCTGAATCACATGAACCCCCATATTGCCCCAATCCTCCTCTGCCGCTCGTCTTGCCTGCCTTGCCCGTCCTTCCCCAGGCAAAGGTGGCAGACTTTGGTCTTGTGCACGTGGGGGAGGGCACGGCAACAGGGTTCACACGAGTGCTGGGAACGGTGGGCTATGTGGACCCTGCTTATACCCTTACTCACAACGCCACCACTACTGCTGACGTTTACAGGTGCGGTGCAGATTTGAGACTACTTTGATTCAGGTTGGATGTGTGCTTTAGGGAATGCAACACCATCACCGTCACTGGGGCATACATGCAGAATGCACCCTTGAAGTGCAAATGTTCAGTGAATGACATGTGACAAGCGGTGAATTGAAGGTCAAACCAGAGCCTCTACTTTGCTTGATGCATGCTCAATGAAAGCATGAGATAGAAAGAGTTGGGGCTAAGTGCCCATTCCAACATCCAATGGCTAAGTGCCCATTTAAATATTCATTGGCTAAGTGCCCATTCAAACATTTAAGGAGTTGGGGCTACGTGCCCTTTCCAACATCCACTTCGCTTCTCGTCTATTGTCATCTGCCCCCACTTTCGCATTCGTGAGATGGCGCTTGGCAATGCTACTTTCCCGTATTATTCAAACCATGCAGTGTGCGTTGCTACTTGCTCCCTTGCTTCCTCAACTCCTTGCTTCCTTTCTCCCTTACATGGGTTCTTCCTTTGTTCTCAAACATGTTTTGTGGTGCATCTTTTTAATTCTCATGTTGGTGCAGCTCCCCTCGTGCTCTCAGGCGGAACACCCACCATCAATGTGATGAGCGTTGGTGACCAAGAACCGAAGTTAGAGTACCTATTTCGTTTTTGCTTGTTCACAAACGTGTGTTGTGGTGCAGCTTCGGTGTGCTCATGCTGGTGATGCTGTCGGGCAGAGGAGCCACCATCAGTACGATGACTGGCAGCGGTCCAGAAGGATGTGCTGCCCATGAGCCAATCTCCATTTCCAAATGGGTGTGTTTGCCAATCAATTTGCATGCACACTCATCAGGGTTCTCTTCATCTGTTGTGCCCACAGCATGTGTTCCCCGCCCATCATGTCTTTTCCATCCCCAACCATGTGCTTCCCGTATTTCCCGCCCCCTATCATGTGTTTCCCGCACCGAACCATGTCTGCCCTGCCCCATATCCCAGGCAACTGATGTCATGTCGGAAGGGAAGACAGCACTCCTCAAGGATCCCCGCATGGAGGCACCGGAGGACATCGTCATTCGCCTTGCCCACCTCGCTGTCACCTGCACCGCCATGCCCACCGCCTCGCGCCCCTCCATGTCCAGAGTGGCCCAACACTTGGAAGCTCTACAAGAGGAGGCGGGAGGGGGGGATGCGAGAGCAAGGGCTGCAGCGAGGGTTGACGAGAAGCTGTCGAGTCAACGGTTGCGAAGAAGCATGGAGGAGGATCTTGCGTTGCTGGACAAGCAAGTGAAGCATGAGGGTGATTCAGCGGTTTTTGAGGCGCCTCAAAGATCGCCTTCTGAGGCGCCGCAAAGGTCGCCTTTTGAGGCGCTCCAAGAGGTTACGAAGGAGCATGGAGGAGGGCCGTGCGTTGCTGAATGAGCAAGTGATGCACGAGGGTGGGTCAACGATTATTGAGGCGACGCAAAGGTCGCCTTTTGAGGCGCCCCAAGAAGAGGTTACGAAGGAGCATGGAGGAGGGTCGTGCGTTACTGAATGAGCAATTGACGCATGAGGATGAGGCAGCGGTTAGATTCGTGCAGACACGGGGGATGGAACCTTGGAGTGACAGCTCATGAAAGGAAACCACGATAACGACCATACAGTGGCAAACTTCTGAGATGTAAATTTTATCTCTGAACATTTTTCCAACATATTTGTACAAGCAACTAGAGAGCACACGGGCCAAAAACTGGAACTGGAACGGGTGTCAACAAAATTGGCTCTCCAATGTGACTACGGTGCTTACGAAAGGGGGGCAAGGGGGGTTTGTGTGTTCTAAAGGGGTCTTCACTTCAGATTGGTGCCACACATGGTAGGCAGGGCTAAGCAATCATGATGAGCGGCCTCATCACATCGTTGCCATCATGCTCCAGCTCGTGGCAGTACCACACGCGGGGCGGATTGATCATGCAAATGTCATGGGAGTGTCCGCGTCCTAAACAGTCATGGCCCATCGCATGGGGCTAAGCAGTCATGCCCCAACGCATGGCAGGGCCACATGTGGTAGGTAACCCTGCGGTCATGATGAGTGGCCTCATCACGTTATTGTCATCATGCTCCAGTGCATGGCAGTGCCACACATGGGGCTAAGCAGCCATGTCCCAATGCATGGCAGAGCCACCTGTAATTTTAGGTAACCCCCCTGTGGTCATGATGAGCGGCCTCATCATGTCGTTGTCCCCGTGCTCCATCATGTGGCAGTGCCACACATAGCCCGGGCCCTCTGTGGCATCAAAGGGGAACGGCTTGCCATCCTGCACATGGGGAGATATGGAAAGGAGACACAGAGACATGCAAAGATATGTGAGGCGATTTAGACATGGAGGAACAGAGGGTTGGCATAGCATAGCATTGCAGAAAGGGTTGAGAAGAGGAACAGGGCAGGTGCAGAGGTAAGAGAGTGCACTGAGGAGTGGAGAGGTGGAGGGCGGGAGTGGAGAGGTGGAGGGTGGGAGTGGAGAGGTGGAGGGCGGAAGTGGATGAGTTTGGCGCAGCTGGTCAGGAAACGCAACACTAGAGTCCTGGTTTCCCTGTCTGTATGTACTCCGTCGCTGCCGTTCCTCCCCAGTAAACCATCTCGTCTGTTCTTAACAAAAGAAAGGGACCAACTAACAAAGGACTAGGTGAAAACAGCCTTGCCTGTACCTGAAACAGGTTGTGACAACACTACCAGGGCTCGGGGGAAGTAACACTGGTCTTTCCGCCCTACCACCTTCCCCTCCACCACACTGCACCGCGTCTCACTCACCTGCCCCTTGAACGGCACAAAGACAGTGAGAACGCTGTCGGGGAATGCAACAGTGGTGTCCTTCCATCCCCTCTCATGCTCTGGCACGGGCCGAGCCGGCCCTGTGAAGCAGCTGGGCTTGACAGGGGACGAGGGCGCGAGCGAACATGAGCCATTGATTAGCCCGCCAGAGTTGATCGGACGGCGGGAGATGGGGCGGTGTTGTATGAGGTGGAGGTGGATGGGGTGCGTCTCGAATGTCGGATTGATGATGTGCCAAAGCTCTGATGTGCCCTGAATAAAAGGAGTTTTTGAAAGGCAAATGCCAAAACGCACAACAAATTATTTAAGAGCAGAATTTACTGGTGCACTCCCGAGGGAGGAGAGCTGGCATACTTCTGACTTGCGGGCATCATCCTGTATTAGAAGGGCAAAGAGTTAACTAAAAAGGCCTGTGCCTTCTCGGTGGCACCGATTAACCCATGACAGACAGGGGCTTCTCTGCTCACCACTTGGGCCTTCTCGGTGGCACCGATTAACCCATGACAGACAGTGCTGTGGGGCTCTGTGCTCACCACTTGGGCCTTCTCGGTGGCAGGAGCAGAGGAGGCCTTGCCATCCAGCAGCATGGCACTCGGTTGCCGTGACACGCGGTTGATCACAAACACTAAAACCCGCCAACGCTGCCTCACTGCCTGGATGAGATCCACCGGGGGGATTTCCTGCAGCGAGGGAGTTTGACACGAGTGAGGGGAGGCAGGAAACTTTTGAGACGACTCAAAAGGCCCGACAGCGCTGCCTCACTGCCTGAGCGAGGTCCACTGGGGGAATGTCCTGCAGCGAGAGAATTTAACACGAGTGGGGAGAGGCAGGAAACTTTTGAGACGACTCAAAAGGCCCGACAGCGCTGCTCACTGCCTGAGCGAGGTCCACTGGGGGAATGTCCTGCAGCGAGAGAATTTAACACGAGTGGGGAGAGGCAGGAAACCTTTGAGACGACTCAAAAGGCCCACCGGCGCTGCCTCGCTGCCTGGGCAAGATCCACTGCGGGGATGTCCTGCAGCGAGGGAGTTTAACACGAGTGGGGAGAGGCAGGAAACTTTTGAGACGACTCAAAAGGCCCACCGGCGCTGCCTCGCTGCCTGGGCAAGATCCACTGGGGGGATGTCCTGCAGCGAGGGAGTTTAACACGAGTGGGGAGAGGCAGGAAACTTTTGAGACGACTCAAAAGGCCCACCGGCGCTGCCTCGCTGCCTGGGCAAGATCCACTGGGGGAATGTCCTGCAGTGAGGGAGTTTACCACAGGTGAGGGGAGGCATGAAAGAGCAAGAAGCATGGTCATCGGTCAATAATAGAATCGCATGATAGAAGCAGCGTGATCACGCGCGTGAAGTCAACCAGTCAGCCGGCTGCCCCATGGGGAAGGGAAGAGCGTGCGTGGCAAAAGGACAGAGCTCGACAGACAGAGCTTGAGAGACGGAAAGAGAGTCGTACATACACGCTCACCGAAAGATTCTTGGGCACGGTGGGGGGAAAAATCGGCGAGCGCATGACCACCCCCGTGGGCCGTGAAGCAGTCAGCATTCATTCAACCCCACGAAACAGGGAGGGAACTTACCGACAGCTTGTTGGGCAGGGCGGGGGGCTTGATTGGAGAGCGCTGGGTGATGATGAAGCGCATGACCACGCCCGTGAACCAGTCAGCCGGCTGCCCCACAGGGAAGGGAATGGCGGCGCTGTTGACAAGAATGACGTCACGGCACCACGCGGGCGCAGCGTTGAAGTCGAGAAGGAGGTCGTGCCGCGTGCCAGGGACGACGAGTAGCGAGGCGCGGCGCAGGGGGCGGGCGAGGTAGCCGCCATCAGAACCAATCTGGGCAGGTGGGGGGGTGGGGGGAGGGGAAGATGGGGCAGGAGGTGGTGGGAGGGGGACATGGGGCAGGAGGTGGGGGGAGGGGGACATGGGGCAGGAGGTGGGAGGAGGGGGACATGGGGCACCAGGCGCACGAGGTAGCCGCCATCAGAACCAATCTGGGAGGGTAGGGAGGTGGGGTGGGGGGAGGGGGATATGGGGCACCAGGCGTCTGTTTTTGAGTCAACTGAAAAACAGACGAGCAGAGAGGCGCGGCGCAGCGGACGCACGAGGTAGCCGCCGTCCAAACCAATCTGGGAGGGCGGGTGGGGAGGTGGGGGGAGGGGGACATGGGGCAGAACCAATGTGAAAGGGCGGGTGGGGAGGTGGGGGGTGTTTTGAGTCTACTCAAAACACGCCGTCAGAACCAATCTGGGAGGGTGGGGCGGTGGGATGGGGGGAGGGGACATGGGGCACCAGGCGCGCTGCAAGTTGACTTTTGAGACGCCTCAAAACTCACCAGGTAAAATGGCAGCAGTGGTCCAGTGAGAGGGGGGTTGAAGTTGGAGTCGCCACAGGCGGCGCACTGGAAGGTCAGGTTGTACGTGCGTGCATTGGCTGCACTCACCATGCGCATCCGGTGCATCGCTCGCCAAACCTTGAGGAACGGCCAAACCTGAGGGACAGTGGTGATTTAATGACATAATGATTTACAAGCAGAAACTTCACTAACTGCACAAGGCAGAAAAGGAACACACACACATATATATATATATACATATGTAAGTATATATATATCTGTATATATAAATATATAAAAAAAAACAAAGAATCAACCCTTCGTCTCACCTTGCCATTTACAACATTTGTATCGCCAATGTAACCCGGTATCCAATTCGGGTGGACGTTCGGCACGAGGCCCTGCTTCGGATAATCGATGGATCCGTTCGGGAAAAATATTCTATCAGCGATCACGAGGTGCAATAGGCGCTCGCCACGTGGCAGCCACCTCTTGAGCCGCCTCTCCTCGCCCTGCGGGTCGCGGATAACATAAAGCCCCGCCAATCCCGCGACCACGTTCTGTGCCGTCATTCCAATCGTGTGGTCGTGATACCACAGCATCGTCGCGCGTTGCATGTTTGGATATGTGTGCTCTTGGGATTCGAACTCGGGTCCGTGCTCGCCACTCGCCGTGTGCCACGCCAGAGGGTGACCGTCGGATTTGCTTGGCGTCTCCCCGCCATGCTTATGGACGGCTGCGGTAACACAAAGTCAGCAAAGAGAGGTGGAGAATTGAAGCGAGCGAAGATTGAATTGAGGTGGAAATCAGAGGGGAAGAGGCTCCGAACGTTGGAGACCCAGCGAACCGAAATCGCAACGATCTTTACAGACTGATCGGCGACACTGAACCGCTTCCAAGGAGGGCAAACAGCACAGGAGAAGTCAGACCAAGACATGGGGGTCAACAGCACATGAGTTGACTTAATGATGGGCACACCGCCGTGTTTCAGCTTGGGCGCCATGAGGGTGGGGTCGATGGTGAACATGTGCGCCTTGTCCCTGATGTGATTCGCAAACTTCCACGGAAAGCAAACAGCACAGGAGAAGCTAAACCAGGTCGCCAGTGGACTTACTGATGGGCACACCGCCGCCTTTCAGCTTGGGCGCCATGAGGGTGGGGTCGATGGTGAACATGTGCGCTTTGTCCCTGATGTGATTCGCAAACTTGTTTTGAGACGTCTCAAAGAAAGTGGACTTACTGATGGGCACACCGCCGTGTTTCAGCTTGGGCGCCATGAGGGTGGGGTCGATGGTGAACATGTGCGCTTTGTCCCTGATGTAATTCGCAAACTTCACCTGCTCGAGAATCGGGGGGTGGAATTAAACGCGGGTCTGGGATTAGGATAAGCGAGGATCTGGTTTTTTTCTGATTCTCAGATAACGGATCTGGGAAGCGGGTAAGCGAGCGAGGAGGTTAGGGAGAACGTGGGAACTGGTAGAAGCAGGGAGGGTCAGGAGGGCTACTGTTCAGAAGCAGTGCATTCAACGTCACATGAAATGACACATGAAATGACACACGAAATGACACACGAAATGACACATGTAATGACACATGAAATGACTTGAAGCAGAACGCTGGTACGCTGTCTGGCCAAAGCAGACAGGGCCCGCTCACCCTGGTGGCGACGCCGCCGGCTCACCCTGGTGGCCGCCTCCAGCTCACCCTGGTGGCGGCGCTGGCTCACCCTGGTGGTGGTGCCGCGTGGCGAGGAGCATGGGGCCCGGGTAGCGCGCCGAGCTGCGGCTCACCTTGCACGGCACCCACATGGTTGCATGAGAGTGACAGCGACTGACGGGTTGGCTCACCTTGCACGGCACCCACATGGTTGCATGAGAGTGACAGCGACTGACGGGTTGGCTCACCTTGCACGGCACCCACATGGTTGCATGAGAGTGACAGCGACTGACGGGTTGGCTCACCTTGCACGCACGGCAACCACATGATTGCTAGTGACAGCGACTGACGGGCCACGGGTCGGCTCACCCTGGAAGTGTCTCGCTCACCCTGGTGGTGGTGCCGCGTGTGGTGAGGAGCACGGGGCCCGGGTAGCGCGCCGAGCTGCGGGAGATGCCGAACGCGTACACCTTGGTGGCGGGCAGGTCGCGGTGGAACTTCTGCGCGTTGAGCGGGTGGGGGGGATGGGGGAAAGGAAGGAACGCTGAGGGAGGGCGCGGAGGGCGTGTGAGGGAGGCAGCGGGGTGACGGTGGGAATGTGGGTCTTCGTGAAAACAGAATGATTCTTGCGAGAGAGGCGGCTCAAATGGCTCACAAAGTTCAAACGCGAATGTGCCGCTTGGATGACGGGCCGCGGGTGTCAGACGGCCGTCAGGCGATTGCGCCGGCAAATGGCACTCGCCTGGTAAACGTCGTACGCGCCGAGTTTGATGGTCTCGCCGGCCGACGCGTCCACGAAGGTGAGCGGCGACGCGGCGAGGTCGTCGACGAACTTGCACAGCGGCTTCTCCGGAAACCGGTTCACGCACCGCGGCCCCGCCATTGGCTGCGCGCGCGCCGTCAGCACCGCTGGCGGATTTGCCGCGTCGCTGTCATTCGTGCGGCCGAGGCCGGCGCTGAGAAGCGCCAAGACGACCGCGCATGCGCGGCGCGCGAGGATGGCGGGACGCATCATCTCGGCGGGTCAATTCCCGTCCGCGCCGCGGTGCTCCGCCACGAGCGCGTGCAGATTGGACGTGGCCGCGCCGCGGCTCGACTAGTGATAGTAATCGCACGCTCCCGCTGCTGCTATCAGAGAGATGGTAGCTTGCCCCCCGAGACAGATCGGGTGGGCGAAGGGTGGAAGAGACGGAATGGAAAAACGGAACGCGTGGGACGAGAGGACACGGCGAGCGAGGAGGAACGGCCGGCCGTTCTATTATCCGCAGGCCGCTCGTGGCACAAAGGAGAGCGGCGGAGAAAGGGAGGGGACATCTGCGCCAGCTGCTATTGTTGTTGGGGGCTTCGGTTGGCGGCAACGGCTGGCTGAGAATTCACGGGGGATGGCTAGAATGTTGTCGCGCCGTCGCGGCTCGGTGCGGCGGAAGGGGGGGGGGGGGGGGGGGGGGGGGGGCGAGCACGGGCCCTCATCCCAGAGGGATATTCGTATACTTTTGGAGGCGAGGATCAATTTCGGCAGGCTGCCGCCGAAGTGACTAGGGATGAGCTGCGCTAGGGAAATAGGGGGTGGTGGTTGGGGGGGTGGTGGTGGGGGGGAAGACGGGAGGAACCACTTGCTGGAGCTATCGTACGGTAGCAACTCCTCCTGTCTGGTGCCATGCCCTCAAAAAGCGGTTGCGCGCTACAATCTCAGGGTGTGAATTTTTTTCTGAAGTACACTATACGGACCCCTTCCAATCCATCGCCGTGGCAAGACATATAGGCCACACCTTTGATCGGCTCTAACTATTACAACCAACCAATGCGCGCCCAATCGGGCTCTGGATGAGAAGAAGATTCTGTGAGTAGACCAAGCTGCCCGGGTAGACTGTAGCAAAAATCCGCACTTGTCTGATGTTCGAGTAATTACGCATGCGCGGCAGTGCGGCAGTCCGACCTCCCTTCCTCGCCAGGCTGGTCGCATCACCATAGAATACACGTGTGCTTCAACTGTATCGAAGGACATGACATGAAGTAGGGGAAAAGGACATGACAGAATGGTGGCGCCCAGAAGAACTCTCTCGCTAGGACGACGACGGCGCATTTTCATCAACTGCATGGAAGTGAGTGTGTGTGTACAGTATTTGGGACCAAAACAAGAGGAGGAGGGAGGGAGTCCTTCTGGAAACAACAGTTGGCTCCAGCGGTACTGTGCAGTTCTGCTTTTAGGACGCGGTAAGGTGCTCGATTAGGGGATATCGAACCGGCCACCGCACTGAAATCCCGCTTGTTGTATACAGGAAGTAAACAATCTTTTACAACCGCTCTTTACGACGAACCTGAGGCGATCGATCTGGCCCTCTAACCGCTTCTTTCCAGCGAGGGAATGATTTCACTATCGAAGCAATTGAACAACATGAGCAAAACCATGAGCGAATGTTATGTAGCTATTACTAGTGCATTATGAGTAGCCAAGCTAGGATTTCACGTAAGGGGCAAAAAATAACAATGTGAGTTAAGGCACGAGCAAACATTTTACAGAGAAATTATTCAAGTTGTAACGCGATATTGCTAGCTAGACTATGCAGCGCTGGAAGCAAGGTTCGGATTTATCCCCAGTGTCAATGAAGAAAGGTTTTACTATAATGAGGGCAAAAATATGAGATATGTACCACAAGCAACCCAACTTAGCCTGTAATATACACATGCAAAGGTGTATGTCTAAGTTGACACACCCCCTAGGCTAGGTAAAGGGTAAAGTGCAATGTGTGCATCCAATGAAAACTATTGGAAACATGGAAGAGGTTTCATGCTCCTACACCACCGAACCTCGTAGCACACATTGATATACAGAGCACTGACAGTGTTCTCTCCAACAAGAAGCTTCCCAACCAAGTGTGCAGCTAGCGCATGTTCACTCGCACGCCACCTTGGTGTCGAAGCTGCTGAGGCAGATGGCAAAGGCCTGCAAGGCGACAGACGGATGCCCATGCATGAGTACAAGAGGTAAGCGGCATGGTGCAAGCAACCACTGCTTGAATCCGCCCAGCATCGCTCCTGTCTCACCAGCACCACTCCTGTCTCACCAGCACCACTCCTGTCTCACCAGCACCACTCCTGTCTCACCAGCCCGAGAGGCCACGTTCTGCACACCTGGAAGGCGGAGAGCGGGTAGCGATAGTCCATGGTGAAGGCATCCCTCCCCACCTTGCCAAGCTCACCTGCAAGTCTACCCAGTATCACTCCTGTATCACTCTTGTTCCCCCCAGTATCACTCCTGTTCCCCTTACACACCTGAAATGCGGAGAGCGGGTAGCGACAGTCCATGGTGAAGGCATCCCTCCCCACCTTGCCAAACCGCACACCTGCAAGTCTACCCATTTTCACTCCTGTATCACTCTTGTTCCCCCCAGTATCACTCCTGTTCCCCTTACACACCTGAAATGCGGAGAGCGGGTAGCGATAGTCCATGGTAAAGGCATCCCTGCCCACCTTGCCAAACTGCAGTAATACCGGCTGGTCCACGTCCCTCCCGCCCTTCACCACCCCACACGTGCCTGCTGCCCCCCGCTCATGCGCCCTGCCTGCCCCACTCCTGCTGCTCGCCTCACCCCCCCTGCCGCTAATAGTGCTGCTGACGTTGCTGCTACCACTGCTGCTGCCACTGCCACCGCCGCCGCCGCCGCCGCTGCTGCTGCTGCTGCCACTGCTGCCGCTGCTGCTGCTGCTGCCACTGCTACTGCTCGGCCCACCGCCATTCCTACTGTCGCTGCCAGAGGCACCAGCACCTACAGGTTCCGACGACCCGCCGTGGTGTTTCGGCACAGTCAGGCAAGGTGACGAGGACGAAAGTGAGGAGCAGTGGGCGGCACATGGGGGGAGCAGCGGCGAGGGTGGGTGGGGCTGGTGCGGAGTGGTGTGTGCAAGTGGCGTGGCGTGAATGAGTTGAAAGTTCTTGACAGACGCCACTGTCACGCGCCCCCTGAAGTTGAGACACCAGCACTGCAAGGGAGGGGAAAGAGGAAGCGCAGGCAAGGGGAGGCAAGGGGGGGTGAGGAAGGAGCTTGTCATAGTTGTTCCCCTGTCCGCCCCCTTCTATTAGTTGGAAGTTCTTGACTGAAGTCACTGTCACGCGCCCCCTGAAGTTGAGACGCCAACACTGCAAGGGAGGGAAGAGCACGGAGCAGCATATGGTGGGAGCAGTGGTGAGGGCGGATGGGACTGGTGCGGCGTGGCATGAATGAGATGGAAGTTATTGACAGTTGGCACTGTCACCCGCCCCCTGAAGTTGAGACACCAGCACTGGTGGGCGCAGGGAGGAGGAGAGATGGTTGGGGAGGAGAAGAGATGGTTTGGAAGGGGGGAAAGACACATGGGGAAATTGTGTAAAGGCGAGGAGAAAGGGGAAAGCAGGGGAGAGGAATGCGTTTTGTGTTATCATGGATTCATCCCCATTCACCTGCAGCTGCTCATGCCATCACCACCATCTCACCTGCAGCTACTCCTGCCATCACCACCATCTCACCTGCAGCTGCTCATGCCATCACCACCATCTCACCTGCAGCTGCTCATGCCATCACCACCATCTCACCTGCAGCTACTCATGCCATCACCCCCATCTCACCTGCAGCTGTTCATGCCATCTGGGCGGCTTATTCTTCAACATCATTGGCTCCCATGCCTCCTCCCCACATCCCTCGCCTTCACGTCTCTCCCGACAGAGCGAATGGCAATGTGACACGTGGCAGCATGGCATGTGGCTCTGCTCCCTGCCATCCCCCCTAACTTCGCCTTCCCCATCATGCCTCGACCAGCCATCACACGCACATACTCCTTCCCCACATGCACATACCCCCTTATCACACGCACACTCTTCCCTTCTGCCCCACCCTTCACGCCCACACCTCATGCTCTTCTCCCCCGTCTCTTCTTCCCTCCCCCGTTGCTCCGCATCCCCCCCACAGTCTGGCATGTGTCCTCCCCCAGTGCTTGGCGCGCAGTGCAGCCCCCCACTGCTTGGCGCGCAGTGCAGCACGGCCTGGATGCGGCGAGGGCCGCGAGTGCCCAGCACGTTGAGGGCATACGACACCGTCGCCACAGGCAGGGGCGCAGGGGGCGCAGGGGGCGCAGAGGGCGCAGGGGGCGGAACGGGCGCATAGGAGGGCGCAGAGGTCGCAAGGGGACAAGAGTGTGGTGGCGTGTGGGCGGGCGCAGCAAGCGCAGAAGGCGGAAGGGCGAGGGGGGGAAGGGACACGGCACTATCGCATGTGGTGGCGGGCTGTGATTGGGCGGAGGAAGGGGGCGAGAGGACGGACGTGGGGCTACACGCGCAGTCGCCACGGGCGCAGGGGGTGGCGTGTGGGGAGGGCGAGTGAAGAAGCAGAGCGGACGGGCAGGCAGGGGGAGCGGAAGAGCCACAGCCATGGGGAGCGCAGGCGCAGCAGCAACCACAGCCGCCACTGCTGGCTCCACAGCTGCCCCTCCCGCACCCTCTCCCGCACCCTCTCCCGCTCCCACCTCCTGCCAGCGACCCCGCAGCCTCACTGCTCCCCACGCCCTCATCCCCCCCGCCCCGCGCACATCTCCCCCCGCGGCCCTTCCCCTTGGAAAGGGCAGGTGCGGGCGCAGGCGCGCCCATGCTGGGGTGCACCTTGCTGCTGCTGCTGGGCGCGGAAACGCCTGCGGGGGGGCGCGCGGGGGGCGGCGGGCCCTGCTGGCGCGCGTCGAAGATGGTGAAGCGCGTGCCCAGGAAGTTGGCGCGCACCCGCCCCAGATACGCGCTGCCCGCTGCCACTCCGCCGCTCGTTGCCCCCCCGCTGCCCGCTGCCCCCCCGCTGCCCGCTGCCCCCCCGCTGCCCGCTGCCCCCCCGCTGCCCGCTGTCCCCCCGCTGCCCGCTGCCCCCCCGCTGCCCGCTGCCCCCCCGCTGCCCGCTGCCCCCCCGCTGCCCGCTGCCATCCCGCTGCTGCCGTCGGGGACGCTTTTGCTGCTGCTGCCGAGACAGGCGGTATGCGAAGAGCGTGTGGTGTGAAAGGTGTGTGAGGAGTGAGAGTGAGAGGAGTGGGAGGCGGCGGAGGGGTGGTCGGGGCGAGAGAAGTCGTGCGGGTCGAGCGAGATGACGTACTCCGTGCTGCGGGGCGGGGAGCGCAGAGGGGAGAGGATGCACAGAGAAGCGGGCAGAGGGGAGCAGAGGGGCAGAGCAGGCGAGGAGAAAGGGGGCCGGCCGACAAGCATCATCCGCATGCATGAGTTACACACGCGCTCCCGTCACACACGCGCTCGCAATACACGTGCTCCCAGCACACGCGCTCCCGTCCCACGCGCTCCCGTCAAACGCGCCCCCACGGCACGTGCCCTGTGCTCGACATACCTGGAAGGCCGCCATCCGAATTTGCGCGCCGCCATGAGAAATTTCCCCGCCGCGGACTCCCCCTCCGCCTCTGTCGCGGCGCTCGGCGATGCCCCCAGGAAGAGCGAGAACGTGCCCGTCTTGCGGTTCCGCCGAATCAAGCACTCCACTGTGCGCTCGAGCGGGCCCGGCGCGCGCAGGTCCGCGGGGAAGAAGATGCGCGCGGGGTCGGCGGGGGTAGGGGGAGCGGAAAGTATGAAGTCCCTGGAAAAAGCGGGAGGGGGGGATGAAAGTAGCAGTGGGAGGTGAGAATTCGCGCAGCGATCAAAGCGCGCTCCCGACGACAGTCTGCGCTTCCCCGGGCCTGCAACGCAGAAGCTTGCGGGAGAAGACGTTCGGGGTCGGCGAGAGAAACGTAGGGTGGGGGAACTCGAACGTGGGGAATAGACGAGGAAAGACAAGCGGAAAGTCGAGTCTTACGAAAGGGACTTGACGTGACTCGCGACGCGGCGCAACGCGGATACTGCGGAAGTGGGACGAAACACGTGGTTTTAGATTCACGCCCGCGAACGTGATGTATGATGGTATACGTTCTCCGCATGTTCGTTTTCCGCGTCAGATGTACATCGGTCACAACGACTTGTACGACCTTCCGATGGGAAACAAGCAATAGGTTGTTTGGACGTTAAGAAAGGACCGCCAATTTCGTCAGTTACTTTGCCAATTATCTCTTCAACTGGTGGAACAGATTCGAAGGTCCGAGTTTGTGACCTTCGTCAGTGTACGGGCACGTACCTAGTGATTTCCCGCCATGACTTGCACACGCCAGCGCACGCCACGAGAGTCCGACGGTGCGGCCAGTCCATGCCCGGCGCGACGACGCGCGAGAGCACGTCGCGCAGCAGCTCCGCCGGCATGGCGGCCCATGTGACGCGCTCGTCGCCGTCCCAGCTCATCGTCACGCGGATTCGTAGACAGGCTGGTAATGTATAATACACTACTTTAAAGCCTATTGCTTGCGAAATCGCCAGAACTCAAAGCCAAGTTTCCCAAGAGCTAACAGTTGAAGGCTAAGAAAGGAAGTATCGCTCGTCTTGTGAAGGAAGAAAGACAGACGAACTTGTTTGGATTGTTTCTTGAACTGCCTGAAGCGAAGAAAACACGACGTGTGTGTGTCTCTGGGTTGAGGGCAGCTGTTGCCTTGCACTCAGTTTCCACGCGCTCGATTTCTGTTCCCCTGCCTTTTCGACTGCCAACCTCCGCTTACGTGTCGAAGATCTCCCACCCACCACATGAAGCTCTGTCTGTTCCCCTTGCCCCCTTCTCCCCTTACCGAACAACGCATGCGCGCACCAGCCCAAATTTCCTGAAATATGCGCAACTGCGCGCTGTTGCGGAATGGTCACAGAAGGAGATTGAATGGACTCGTGCGCGCGGCGAGGTTACCGCATGCCCCGGCCCCATTGCGCCTTGATTTTCCCCATCCATTGGGAAGGACGAAATCGCGCGCATCGGCGGAAATCGTGTTTGTCTCAAAAGAATCGACCCAAATTGCTCCCCGCTCGCCACGTGGGCGTTTTTCTCAATTGATTCGACCCCCTTTCCCCCCGCCCCAAAACCCCGTTTTTCCCGCCCTTGCCCTCCAAAATTCGGGCACCCGCTAGAATCTCGTGAAATCACAAAACGTCACGAATACATGTTTTTTCGTAACGCTAAGATTTCAACATGCGAGCGACATCTGATTGGACAGAACACCTATGACTTCTAATGATAAATTTAGCAGTAATATGGATTTTATTAATTATGTGCCACTGCAGTAACATATTTTTTTAATCTTTGTAATACGAGTAAATGTTTTTTCTAAATAATATCAAGAAGTACAATCAAACAAAATATCTACCTATTTCAAAAGATATTTATTTATATTTGCCGTAGAGCTATTATTATTATAAATTTATGAAATTTACCTCTTAGTTTTATAATTTTCCTGGAATAAGCTTCATGTAGATATATAGAAAACATAAAGAAACTATAGGTTGATTTGTCATGTGTTTTTTTTTGCGCCCTTATCTACATTACTGGCATGGGCTAATCCAAAAAAATATGATACAATCAACGTGCATATGAGCCTCCTGAGATTGAGAAGCAACCGCCGAAATTATCGATTGCGAAAGCTGATGTGGCATGCCACAACTACATGGTGGATTTGGCTTGATGTAAAAAGCATGTATTCGTGACTTTTTGTGATTTCACGAAATTCCAGCGGGTGCCCGAATTTCGGAGGGCAAGGGCGGGAAAAACGGGGTGGGGGGGCGGGGGGAAAGGGGGTCGAATCAATTGAGAAAAACGCCCACGTGGCGAGCGGGGAGCAATTTGGGTCGATTCTTTTGAGACAAACACGATTTCCGCCGATGCGCGCGATTTCGCCATTGGGAAGGGAAGGCGGCGCTGACACGAAGCGCCCTCCAGGAACTTCAACCAGCACAAACCCTGGATCTCGGCCCAAACAGCGTTCCTTCGCACCACCAACAAAAAAAAAAACAACAACAACAACAACAAAAAAAACAAACAAACAAACAAGAAATCAAATGCATTTGTACTTTTGTTAGGGAGTTCTCGCTTACAACTGTTCCTCGCTTACTCCTGACAAGCCCTACAACCCCCATAACGCATTTAGTCAAAATTTTAGTACAATCGGTTGACGTTGAACTGAAATGTTGGGGATCAGGGTAGACTCCAGACTATCGCAATCTTTAGGGTCACGAAGAAACTGAAACCTTCCATTCCACCCACAACCACACTTCAGCAAAACACCATCAGCATTGGTGTCAGGTGCATTCCTCTTCACAACGCGTGCGGACCATGCATACGAGAAGAAGACATTCGACATGGCGGATTTAATTGGTCCTTACAAATCATGTCTGCCAGAGTGGCAGCAAGCATGGCGAGATGCAATGATATTGGGCAAACCCTACAGAACGAGGGGAAAATATGTCAATGGTAACAAACATGGGGCACTGTAACGCGTACGGTAACGATTTCAACGCGTTTGGTAACTCGCTTAACGCGTTTGGTAACTTGCTTAACACGTTTAGTCACTCGCTTAACACATTTGGTAACTCTACACTAGCAGCCCATCACGCGAATGGTAACTAAATGAAATTCCCGCTGAAATGAGCCTGAAAAAGAGGAATTTACGGGAAAATATGTCAATGGTAACAAACATGGGGCACTGTAACGCGTACGGTAACGATTTCAACGCGTTTGGTAACTCGCTTAACGCGTTTGGTAACTCACTTAACACGTTTGGTCACTCGCGTAACACATTTGGTAACTCTACACTAGCAGCCCATCACGCGAATGGTAACTACATGAAATTCCCGCCGAAATTGAGCCTGATTCTGGTTTTTCCCGCTCGCGTCAGAAAAATTTGACGAATTCTGAAGCAGGAACCTCTGATACACTCTCCGAAATTCTGACGATGTTTTCCGAAATTCTGACACACTCTCCGAAATCCTGACACACTTTCCGATTTTCAAAATTATTGCAAAAACAGAAGTGTTGTGAAAATATCTGTTCATACATAATTAAAATTTCTGGCGCTCCTTCTGCAAACTTTAGTACTTTTTTCTATCGTGCAGCCGGGGCAAACAAATCTATACTCCTTTCAAATGGCAGATAAATCTGAGAGAAACAAACGTAAACTTCTTGCGACCAGGCGTTTATGGTTCTTTATTTGAAAAACGAAACATCTAATTTTCAAGAGGAGTGTTTTTTCCCACGTGCAAAAATTCTCCAACGTTGCATTAATTATAAACGGTAAAATTTCCAAGGTCCTTTCGGATTTTTTTTATCGTTTTGCAAGTTCGCAATCCATGCTATAATATTTTAGAATTTAACCATTTTTGTACGAGCTCATATATATATATATATAATGGCCCTAAATCTTTGTGGTCTGTGGTATTAGAACAAACGGGGTCCTTCAAATTCACGGCGGGACTTTGCTCAAATGGATAATACTGTGCGTAAAAGCTTTCCAACTCGATAAATTCCTCTTTTTCAGGTTCATTTTGGCGGGAATTTCATTTAGTTACCATTCGCGTGATGGGCTGCTAGTGTAGAGTTACCAAATGTGTTAAGCGAGTGACTAAACGTGTTAAGCAAGTTACCAAACGCGTTAAGCGAGTTACCAAACGCGTTGAAATCGTTACCGTACGCGTTACAGTGCCCCATGTTTGTTACCATTGACATATTTTCCCGGAATTTATCGAGTTGGAAAGCTTTTACGCACAGTATTATCCATTTGAACAAGTCCCGCCGCGAATTTGAAGGACCCCGTTTGTTCTAATACCACAGATCACAAAGTTTTAGGGCCATTTTATATATATATATATGAGCTCGTACAAAAATGGTTAAATTATAAAATTTTATAGCATGATTGCGAACTTGCAAAACGATAAAAAAAATCCGAAAGGACCTTGGGAATTTTACCGTTTATAATTAATGCAACGTTGGATAATTTTTGCACGTGGGAAAAAGCACTCCTCTTGAAAATTAAATGTTTCGTATTTCAAATAAAGAACCATAAACGCCTGGTCGCAAGAAGTTTAAGGTTGTTTCTCTCAGATTTATCTGCCATTTGAAAGGAGTATAGATTTGTTTGCCCCGGCTGCACGATAGAAAAACGTAATAAAATTTGCGGAAGGAGCGCAAGAATTTTAATTATGTATGAACAGATGTTTTCACAACACTTCTGTTTTTGCAATAATTTTGAAAATCGGAAAGTGTGTCAGGATTTCGGAGAGTGTGTCAGAATTTCGGAAAACAGTGTCAGAATTTCGGAGAGTGTGTCAGAGGTTCCTGCTTCAGAATTCGTCAAATTTTTCTGACGCGAGCGGGAAAAACCAGAATCAGGCTCAATTTCGGCGGGAATTTCATGTAGTTACCATTCGCGTGATGGGCTGCTAGTGTAGAGTTACCAAATGTGTTACGCGAGTGACCAAACGTGTTAAGTGAGTTACCAAACGCGTTAAGCGAGTTACCAAACGCGTTGAAATCGTTACCGTACGCGTTACAGTGCCCCATGTTTGTTACCATTGACATATTTTCCCCAGAAGGAGAGCAACAAGGCACACTGTTCGCACATTACTTTTTTCCTCGCATAGTGTTCGACTTTTCTCTAAACTCAAATGGAAGACTGTCAGAAGAACTGAACGAGGAATGAATGAACTAGCAGTGAAATGAGTACAAGTACCCAACCCTAGAATTGTGTACCCCCTATAGGCTAACCCACTGCAGCCTAAACAAGCACAACACATATAATGTTTGACACACCCCCATAGGCAAAGTGGGGGAGAGCAAGGGGTCACAAGACCAGTCAAAGCAAAGCAAGACAAGCTCAGGGTGGATCTCAAGGATACCACACAAATTCCGAGCACAAGCAAGTGGTCACAAGACCAGTTCACATGCAGGTTGATAAAATAGCAAGAGATACAGTGATCACAACCTAGCAAGAGTAAACATGCAGGCATATATATAAGATCACAGTACAAGCAGAGTCAAGAAGTAAGTAAGTGAGGTCCAGCAGGCACAAGGCCTAGAAGAGTACAGAAACGCTGATGGTCACAAGGCTGAAGCGCCTTGGTGAACACATCAGCAAGGTTGGCCTCAGTGGCCACGTAACGCAGACGTAGCTGACCACGCTGCTGCAGCTCTCGAGCAAGGAAGTACCGCAGGGCAATGTGCTTCGTTCTGTGCTCCAGTCTGTGCTCCTCACACAAGGCAATGGCAGCCTGGTTGTCGACGTACAGCACTGGAGGAGAACGAGGCCGCTCTCCCAGGTCGGTCAGCAGGTAGGTCAGCCAGCGTAGCTCCTAGGCAGCCATGGCTGTGGCGTAGATCTCAGCCTCACAACTGGAGCTGAGAACAGAAGAAGAGCGTGTAGAACGCCAAGAAA